AAGGAGGCGGCGACCAAGCGGCGCAAGCTCTCGGCCGATGGTGGAGCTGCTGCTGGTGGTGAAGCGGCCGCAGGCTCGGGCGCTGGCGCGGGTTTGGGCGCCTTGGCAGTGCCGCCGCGGCAAGCGCGCCCAGCAAGGCCAAGGCCGTCGTGCCGGAGGCTGACCAGAAGACCATACTCGAGCGCATCAAGGCCGCCGCCAAGGCCCAGGCGGCAGCTGCCTCTGCTTGCGAGGGCCTGGGCGGCGGCAAGGGCGCTGCGCCTGGCAGAGGCGAAAGTGTTTCTGCGGATGGTGTTGCTGCAGGCCGCCTGTAGCACGGCAGCGCTGTCTTCATGCAGGTGCACGGCTGCAGGAGTACATGATCAGGGGGCTGCGCCCGAGGATTCACAGTCCTTGGACATGCTTTTCGGCAACATCACGGAGTGGGGGCCGCAGGCTGCGCGTTTACTGTCCCAGGAGCATGAGCGCAGCATCGCGGCTTTCGTTGAGACACACGAAGGAGAGAAGGACATGCCAGACATCTGCCAGTCGGTTGACAAGGACGGCTGGCGTTTGGCGCACACGGCTGCTCGCCCCTCTGGGAGGTCTGAGAGCGGCCTGTCTGGGGGCGAGTGGATTCTCGCGAAGAAGCACATTGCGACATCGAGCTTTGAGAGCGTTCGACAGTCGGCGCGCGCTGCTGGGCGCCAGGATCCTCACCGCGCTTTCGCGCCGACGGCGATCCACACCAAGGGCGGCAAACCGGTGCTCATGGCCGCCTGCCTCCAGCCAGGCTTCGGCGTTCAAGGCTGGCGCAATGATGGGTTGGTGGCGCCGGGCGCGTTCGCGCGCGCGCTGGCGGGCCCCTGGCTGGCCGTGGCGGACTGGAACATGGGGCCCGCGGCCTTCGAGATCATTGGGGGCCAAGAAGCTCGGAGCCGCGGTGGTCGCGCCCAGCTGCCGACAGACGTGCGACGAAGGCCCCGGGCGCATGTAGGATTATGGCTTGGCTAGCAGTGGGTGCCCAGGGTTGGTGCTCGCACCTGAATTTCGAGTGCCATGGGGGACTCACGGTGGAATGGTTGCCACGGCGAAGGCTGCTCGGTCGCCGCCTTGGCACCGACACCTGGCCGCGCCTAAGCCGCCCCCTGTTCGCGATCTGCTCGTCGCGGCGGCGGGCCCTGAGAGCGAGGGGTCAAAGGCGCGGGAGGAGCAGCGACTTCGGCGCTTGCAGGCTTTGCCGTCTGACCTGCACGAGGGTTTCGAGGAGTTGGGGCCGCCTGTGGAGCCTCCTGCGCCCGTGGCCTCCTTCGCCATCCCTGAGGGGGTCTGGCTCGGGACGCAGGCGCAGGTGCGTTGGGAAGGTGCCCCGCAGTTGCGCGATGAGCTGCCAGAAGGAATTCGGTGTAGAGCTGCGGCATTTGATCGACAGCAGCATTTTGTTTTTTGGGTGGCAAGCTGGTGCCTGAGATCGGATTAATGATGCGCACGGTGTCTGGATCTCTACCTTGAACAGAGCTACTTTGACTCATGAGGGGGCGAGCGCCATCACTTTGAAGCAGTTCTCAGGTCGCGCTCGAGGTCCTTGATGTTGCTGGGCCAAGGTCGCATCTCCGCCAGGTAGAGCATATGAGGAATGAGCAGCATGAGTGACGGAGAGTTGCCAGCGCGCCTGTGCATCGTCATGCTGCCCTTCGGTTGAGCGGAGCTGATCATGATCAGGCTGCTTTCTGCGCCCCTGAGGTGCAGGCCGTGATCGGAGCTCTACCTTTGGATGGGACAGTTGAGTGCTTCGGCAAGAAGTCCACAGCAGAGGAGATCGATCTATGGAAGATTACGGCCGCCGTCTTGCCATTTGGGATGTTCCAGAAAGTTTGGCCCCAGATGCGGTCCGAGAGCTCGGCGTCGCGGTCTGATGCTCAGCCTGCCTCTTGGGATGATGCTATAGTGGGATCGTCAGCGCTGCGCGCCGCGCTGATTCGCGCTGCCATGGGCGAGGGCGCGAACTCTCTTTTTTTTTTTCCTCTCTCTCTCTCTCTTTCTCTCTCTCTCTCTCTCTCTCTCTCTCTCTCTCTCTCTCTCTCTCTCTCTCTCTCTCTCTCTCTCTCTCTCTCTCTCTCTCTCTCTCTCTCTCTCTCTCTCTCTCTCTCTCTCTCTCTCTCTCTCTCTCTGCTAATGTCAATGGTAATGTTGACGATCGCCATGGACACTGTCTCTCAAGCCTTTTTCTGTCCGGACAAGGATGCCGGTCGACCCGTCCGCAATCGCCTGTGCCTTCTCCATAGGCTCATTCTGCCTGCTGGCCCGCTCCGCGCCGCCGGCGCCCATCTGCGGTTGCCAGTGCGACTGCGGGTCTCCTGGCTGGTCCACCGCCCAGCTGCTCGCCGTCGCGGCGGGGCAGCTCGTGACGGGCTGGTTCGCGGCCCGCTGGTGGGCGCCACCGAGGCCGGCGTCGCCGCTCGTGGTGGCCGCAGGGCTGGAAGGGATCAAGCAGCTGACGCTGCCGGCTGGGGCTCGCGGCCGGCTTGAGGGTGGGGCGCCACCGTCTGCCTGATGGCAGATGACCTCGCGGTGGCCGCCGGAAGGCGCTTCTGGGCCCTGTTCGACGCGTCGGAGGGGGTCTGGCACGAGCGCCTGGTGCTGCGGCGCACCGTCGGGGGCCACGTGGTGCTCACGCCCGACGGCGACGTCTATGAGGAGCTGCTGGAGGACTACGAGGCTGCTCTGCCTAGTGGTGTGGCTGGCGGCATCCCGAGCCGGCTCTACGGGCCGAAGATCTTCCGCTACGCCTTCCGCCCGGGGGACATCGCTCACGGCAGCGCCTTCCGGCGGAGAGCCGAGGCCTACCTGGCTGGCTGGGCTGGCGCGCCTCCGGCGGCCGAGGGAGGAGGGCGGGTGCCCGCGCCCCTTGCTGACGCTGGCGCGACGTCTGCCCCCGCGCGTGGCGCGCTGGTGCCAGCCGCCGACGTCGACCCAGGCTTCTATGACCCCGACGCGCTGGTGGCGCACGCCTGCCTCGTGGGCTCCGAGTGGTTTGTCGGCGAGAACCAGGGTCCCCGCCGTCGCGGGGAGAGCATCACCATCCGCCCTTCGGACCTCGCATTCGGCGTCGCGGGCCAGGCCCTGCTGTGCCGGGAGGGAGTCTGGCACCGCCTCTGCCGCGACCCGCCGACGCCGTTGCCAGCTGGCGAGGGCGAGGCGGCCGCGGCGGAGGACCTCCGCACACTGGCTGTCGAGTACAACGTGCGCGGCGAGCGCACGCGCAGCTTCGAGTCAGCTCGCCACCTGCTGCGCGAGGAGGTCCTGGACGACGCCTGGCCCGTGGAGGGCCCGCGCACGGTGCAGTGGCTCATCGAGGCCTATGCCCACAGCGGCATGGCCCCCGTGCCTCGCCATCACTGGTGGAGACAGGCGCTGGGGGCGACCACGTCGGACCCGGGGATCGACGAGCACCTCTTCCTCTCGGAGTGCATCCAGCATGGGCTGCAGTATGACCAGCTCAACATCTGCAACTTGGCCTGCTTCGAGAGCATGGCCCGCCGCTACCAGCTCTGGGAGGAGCGGTACCAGGAGCGGATCCGCGCCTCCACGGAGGGATCGGTGGCGGCGGGCCTCGCGGCTGAGAGGCACTTGTTCCTCGGCGGCGACCGCGCCAAGGGCTACGCCCTCATCTCGCCCGAGCTGGAGCGCTGGGTGGCGAAGCGCATGGAGGAGCAGGCCGCCGTGCTCAAGGAGCGCCGCAAGGGCCGTGAGGAACGGGCTCTGGCGGCGGCGGCCACAGGCGGCGGCGGCGGCGGCGGAGCTGGCCAGCCGCTTGGCGCCGACCACAAGAAGAAGCTCAAGGACAACAAGAAGGGCAAGGACTGGCAGACTGGCACCCCGGGCGCTGGCTCGGGGGGGCAGGGCTGACGCCTTTCCCGCCCGTGCTACCCTGCAGCGGCCCCGGAGTCCCCCCGGCTGGGCGCCGCTTCTACACCACCAGGGGAGGCGGCTGAGCGCTTGCGCCGCCGCTATGCCGCCAGGTCTTGCGGCAGATCCCAGGGACCTGCTGCCGCTGCCAGCGCCCACCTCGCCTGTGCTGCGTCAAGGGGATGCGCTGGGCTTGGGATGGTTCTCGGCTGGTCTGCAGACCCTCAATGAGATGGGAGGGCGCGGTGCTGTTCGACGGCCTGGAGCAGCCTCTGGGCCTCAGACTGACGCGCTGGAGCGGCTTCGCAGCTCCTATGCCACCGTGCCCAGCTGCCCGTCGGACCTGACCGCCGACTCGGCCACTCGCGCCGTGATCGGCTCCGATCCTGGCTATGGCTTCGATGACATGGCCAGCGGGAAGTACGCCTCCTACCAGCGCGGGAAGGTCTCTCTTCCGCGCGTGGCCTCTGGCGCGGTGGAGCTAGCTGCTGCACTACCAGAGGGTCCACGTTCTCTGCTGATGGGTGAGTCTGGCACTTTGCTGATGAGAGGCTCCACATCTTCTTCTTCGTTGGCGAAATTGGCTTTTGACCGAAGGCTGGCAAGCAATCCTCGCACTTATGGGAAGTTTTTGGCTGACCTCCTCGAGCGTGACATGCTCGAGGTGGGCACTTCGTTTTCACAGGTGGCGCCCTTCTTCGTCTACAAGAAGGATGGGACCCTCAGGCTGATCTTCGACACAAGGGCCTCCAACACCGAGTTCGCGGAGCCCGACTACGTCCCCCTGGCTGCGGCGCAGGCCCTCGGCAACATCGAGCTGCAGGCGGGGGAGCGCCTCTTCGTCGCGCAGGGCGACGTCACGTGCTGCTTCTACCAGTTCTTGCTGCCAGTGCACCTGCGTGAGGCCTTTGGCCTACCGCCTGTGCCCTGGGCCGCACTGCCGCTTGCCGCTCGTCGGCTCGTTGGGGCGCCACCGCCGGACGGCTTGGTGCGCCTGCGCCTGAGAGTGGTGCCGATGGGCTGGTCATGGGCGGTCTACTTCATACAGCATGCCATGATGGAGATCCTTCGCCCCTGTGCCCCGGCGGACCGCTGGTTGGCCCAGTGCGTGCCTCGCGAGCCCGTCTGCCCTGGCTCGGGGGCCTCTCTCATCTACATCGACAACTTCGCGGCACTTGGCACGAGCCCCACGGAGGCGAACGCTCGCCTGGAGCAGATGCTGGGCGCCGTGGCGGCCGCTGGAGTGGACGCCGCGCCAGAGCCTGCTGGCGCCCCGCTGCTCGGGTTCGAGCTGGGCCCGACGGGCACGCAGTGGCGGCCTACGGCGAGGAAGTTTTGGAAGGTCGCGCTGGCCCTCCGCACGTTGGGCTGGGGCCGTCAGCGCCGCACAGGGCGCCAGATTGCCCGGGCCGTCGGCCACGCCTCGGCCATCATGCTGCTGCGGCCCGAGATGCTGTCCATCTTTTCGGCCGTGTACGTCTTCGCCGACCGCTACTTCGGACAGCCGGCGCGCGTGTGGGCCTCAGTTCGGCGCGAGCTTCGAGCTGCCTGGGCGCTGCTGCCGCTCGCCGTCGCCGACATGAGCCTACCCTGGTCGCCCGCCGTCGCCTCGGTCGACGCCTCGCTGCATGGCTTCGGCGTCACCGAGAAGGCCTGGCCCCCCGCTGAGGTGGGCCGCGTCGGCCGCGCCTCAGAGCGGGGACGGTACCGTGGGGCGCTGCGCACCTCCCGCCGCCCGCGCTGCCTGGTCGAGGGTGAGGAGGCTGAGCCCTCGCTGAGCGACATTGTCGACGCCTCGCCCGAGCAGCTGCGTGCGCTGGGGCTGCGCTCCGCCTTCGAGGAGGTGCCGTCGGCCCTGGCGCGCGGGGGCGACTGGGGCGTGGTGGCTGCGCGCCGCTGGAGGCGCAAGGACAAGATCCTTGCGCTCGAGGCGGAGGCAGCCTTGTGGCAGGTTCGGCGGCTGGCCCGCAGCCGCCTGAGCGCCCAGAAGCGGCACTTAGTTCTGTCGGACTCTATGGCCTGGGTCCTCACCTCGTGCAAGGGGCGGAGCTCGTCGTGGTACCTGCTGCGGAGGTGCCGCGAGTTTTGTGCCATGTGCTTGGCCCTTGGAGCACGTGTTTCTTTTCGGTGGATTCCTTCAGAGTGGAACTCGGCGGACGAGCCCAGCAGGAGATACGACCCATCTTCGTCTCATCATGCTCGTCACTTTCACACCGCACTTGCCCCCTCAGCGGATTGCCCAGCGGACGTTGAACGCAGTCACCAGCCGCCGCCTCGGCTCGAGGATGATTGGCGACTCGCCCTTCACCCAGCCGATCGCGCTCGCCGAGGCGCGGCTTCACGGGCCAGCGGGCGCTGCTGGGCTTCGCGAGCAGCTCGCGGCGGGGCGCTCCAAGCGGCGGGCCTTCGCGGGGCCCTTCGCCGCGGGGCTCCCTGGGCCCGAGCCCGCTGCTCTGCAGGGTGCTGGCGCCAGCGGCGAACCTGAGTCCGAGCCGGGCCCCGCCTGCCCCGAGTCGGGTGCTGCGCCCTCTGGTGGCGCCGGAGACGGGGGGCGGCGTGGCTCTCGGGAGGTCGCGGCCAGAGGGCATTGCTCTGCCTCGCCGCCACGCCTGCCCTGCCAGCCCGCCCCCTCTGCAGCCTGCGCCGGCCTCGGGCCGGCTGCCCTGCCGCACGCTGGCTGCTGCTGGCCCCCTGGGCTTGGCCCGCCACCCTGCGCCGGGCCGCCTGGTCCCCTACCGCGGGGAGTCTGGCTCGGCGCGCCGGCTGCGCCGCGAGACGGCGCGGCGGCGCCCGGGCTCATCGCTGCGCTCGGCCGCCCGCAGTGCGGAGGAGGCGGAGGAGCTGGGGTTCCACATCAGCTCCCTGGCTGCCGCAGCCGTGACGACGGCAACGCAGAGCAACTACCTGAACGCCCTGCGCAAGCTGCTGGCGTGGCTGCACGTGCCCAGTGCCCCTCAGCGCCTCCCTGCAAGCGAGTGGGACCTGTTGCTGGAGCAGTACGTGGAGTTCCTGCACGACCGCGGGCTGCCCGAGGGGGATGCCTCCAGCACGCTGGCCGCAGTGCGCTGGGCGCTGCCCGAGCTGCCGCGCCCGCTGCGCCGGGGCTTGCCGCTGGCGACTGCTGCGGTCACTGGGTGGCGCCGGCTCGAGAAGCCGCTGTCGCGGCCACCAGTCCCTCGGTCGCTGGCTGTGCTGATGGCCCTGCGACTCTGCTCCGACGGCAAGGCGGACTACGCTTTGTTCCTGCTGTTGACGTTCGAGACGTACATGCGGCCGAGCGAGGCGCTCAGCCTCGTCGGCCTACAGCTGGTGCCGCCCGTGCCGAACGAGAGGGGGGCCTGCCAGTTCTGGACCATCCTGATCCGCGCGAGCGAGCTAGACGTGCTTGGCAAGACCGGCGAGTTCGACACCAGCGTCGCCCTGGACCTGCCGCGCCACCGCCTGCTGGAGTCGGCGCTGCGCCTTCTGAAGGCCAACAGGGGGGAGCGGGAGCGGCTCTTTTTGTCCCACTACAACGACTTCCTCCTGGCCTGGAACAGCTGCCTCCTCGGCTTGGGCCTGGCGCAGCTGAAGGTGACGCCGTACTCCCTGCGTCACGGGGGGGCCTCGGAGGACGTGTCCTCCCGCTCGCGGGCCCTCCTCGACGTTCAGAAGAGGGGCGGCTGGCGCTCGTTCCAGAGCGTGCGGCGCTACGAGAAGCATGCCAGGCTGGCCTCGATGATGCACCGCATCCCTGCGCAGCTCCGCGAGGAGGCGCAGCGCCGCGAGCGCGAGCTGGCCCGGCTCTTGCTGCCAGCCTGCGGGCGGCGCGCGCAGATGCTACCATGCTGAAGCACAGCGTCTTCGTTGACCTCTTTGCTGGCACTGCGCCGGCACTGCGCCGGTGAGCAAATACCTTCGCCGCAAGGGCTGCGCCTGCATAGCCTTCGACAAGCTGCAAGGGCCGCAGTTCGACCTCGGCCGGCGCGAGGTGGTGCTCACCATCGCTGGCTGGCTTCGTGCAGGCCTGGTGTGGGCCCTCTGGTTTGCGACTCCGTGTATCACCACCACTCGTGCCCGCGCGGACAGATCAGGGCGCATGCCTCCGCCGCTGAGATCGTCTGAGCATTACCGTGGCTTGCCTGACCTGTCCGCTAGCCACCGCGCACAGGTGCGCGAGGCCAATAGTCTCATTGACTCTGGAGGCCGCCTCCAGCAGCTCGCCTGGGATTTGGGCATCTGCTGCGGCGAGGAGAACCCACAGACCTCCATCCTCTGGTGTTTTCCTTCTCGGCGCCGAGCTCTCGCTCGCGGCTCCGTGGTCGATGTGGATTTCTGTGCTGCTGGAGGGCCCATGCGCAAGAGAACCAAGCTAGTCTTTCAGCGCTGTGGCACGGTCGAAGCCCCGCACCTGCGCTGCCACGGTCGCGGCGGGCTCTGTTCTTTCACTGGTCGTAAACATGTGCACATCCGAGGGAAGATGGGGGGTAAATGGCTCTCGAAGGTTGCGGAGCCATACCCCCCAGAGATTTTTAAGTTCATCGGCGATGTTCTCATTCATGTAGTCCATCGCCGTGCTGTGGCCACGCTCAGCCAATTGTGAATCGTCTTGCTAGCCAGCTTACTGCATAGGAATGGCGTGATTACGGGATTTCAGTCTCTGTTCCTGCGCTGGCGTCATCCAGCGTGTGCGCAGGGTCCCGCATGATAAATCGCCAGCGTTGCACTTCGACTGACAAAAAGTGCTGGCCAGAGAGCGGGTCATGCTAATGTCAATGGTAATGTTGACGATCGCCATGGACACTGTCTCTCAAGCCTTTTTCTGTCCGCCCAAAGCCAGCCCTCGCCTCGACAGACTTTTTGTTGTGGATTTCAGTCTCTGTTCCTGCGCTGGCGTCATCCAGCGCGTGCGCAGGGTCCCGCATGATAAATCGCCAGCGTTGCACTTCGACTGACAAAAAGTGCTGGCCAGAGAGCGGGTCATTTATTTCTTTCCTTTTTTTTTGTTTCTCTCTTTTGTTTTCTCTCTCTCTCTCTCTCCCCCTCTCTCTCTCTCCTGAGCATGCGACATTGTTCTTGGATTTGGCCAAGTTTTACGGCTCGGTGTCCTCCGTGCTGCTCTTGCAAGCTCGTTTCAATCTTGGATTTCTAAGCATTGCTTTTCTCTTGGAAGTGGGGCTCTACGCGTCGCCCAGGCTGTAGAAGAAAGGCCAGGTGATCTCGGATGCGCTCGTGGTTTCGCGTTCGATTGTTGCAGGGTCCGGGCGCGGCGTTCCCTCGGCAAAGGTCATGCTCCGTCAGCTGCTGGGCGAGGTGCGCCGTGCTTGCCCTCCGACTGGTCTGTGGCGCTACATAGACGATATCTTGACCCCGCACTGAAGGGAATAAGCAGCAAGTTATTGATGACTTCGACGCTTCTGCGGGTGCCATGGCCGTTGTGCTCAAGAAGCTCAGGTTGAGGAGTTCTGGCAACGCAAAGCTCGTTGCCAGTTCGGATGAGATCGGTGTAGAGTTGCAGAAGCGCTTGGTCATGAAGGACACCCCTGTGCAGCATGCGCGCTCCACTGTCGACATAGGCTCTGATGCTCCTGCAGGGCGTCAGAGGATTGCGCCGCGAATGATGAAGCGGCGCGCGCAGGCAAGGGGGAGACATCGCAAAGCGATAAGGTTACACCAGCTCCCCGAGCCCCGGTTCATCACCAAGAAGCTCTTCCGCACCGGGGGCGTTGCCAGCTGCAGTTTCTGGGCATCAGATAGTGGGAACTCCTCCATCTTCTCTGTTGGCCTTGCGACGTGGTGTGGCTGCGAGTGTTGTTGGCGCCAAACGTGGCAGGTGCTTGGATGCTGTGTTGCAGGCTGTCTTTGGAGTTTCTGACCCTGGCAGTGATTTGAGGAGACAGTTTCTCAAGGAGTGGATTGCGTTGTGGCTGGCGCAGCCGTCCTTACACCCTCGTATTCGGAAGATGTGGCCGAGTACTCTTGCGAGGCTACGTAGTGGCGTGAGCAAGTGCCTGGCTGCGAAGTGGAAGGACGTGCGCGGCCCCATCGCTGCGATACACGCCGCAGATCTTCTGTCAGGTTGGATGGGATCCACAGAGTCCAGATGTATGGTCACGGCCGATGGCGGACGGCAGTCTTGACGAGTGGCTGTCCCCCGCGATTGGCGATGAGCAGTTTGCCACGGCAGTGCCAGCTCACTTCGAGGATATGCTCGGCGCTGTCACGGATGATTGTGCACAGTTGCAACGGAAGGAGGCCCCACGGCACGTCGGTGGAGAGGACTTGAAGGATGGCGCTGACATGACGACGGTTCGCATAGAGCTCGGGGCCTCCACCCCACTGACAGCACGCCTTCTTGCCCGTCTCCCCTCGGAGGGGGGGGGGGGACGATGACGATGACGACGCCGCTGACGATGGCGCTGACGATGACGGCGACGGTTGCCGATGACGAGCGCTGACGGTGAAGGTGACACATGCCGATGAACGCTGGCGCTGACGGCGCCGGTAGAAGTCGCGATGACGGTGGCGGTGACGTCTGCCGATGACGAATGCTGACGGTGACGGTGACGATGACGGTGTTGATCATTATGACGATGAAGGTGACGGTGACGTTGGCGATGATGGTGGCGATGACGGTGACGGGGAGAATTACAGCCAGGACGTTGAACTAAGGGCCGCTTTGGGTTCGGCAGGGGCTCGTTGTTCCTTGGGCCAGCCCCGAACCCATCCATCTCCCTGAGATCCGCCCAGGCCTCCTAGATGGGGTCCGAGTAGATGGGGTCGGAGGATTGCGCCGCATCGCCGATGCATCGCCTATGCGGCTCGATGCGGAGCCTGTTTTTCTCTGCGCCGATGCGTCGCCGATGCATCGCCGATGCATCGGCGATGTATTGCCGATATATTGCCGATGCGGCGCGATCCTCTGACCCAATGTATTCGGACCCCATCCAGGTGTCCTCGAATCCCTACTGTATCCCTGAGATCGGCAGACCAAAGGCGATGTTTAGGGATGTGCCCTCAGAGACTAAGGGAATCCCCAACATTGGCACCGATGCAGGGTTATGCCAGACATATGGTCAGGGATACCGTTCAAGCTGGTAACCAAGATGGCGACCGTCCCAAGTGCACTCTTGCATCCTTTCTTCGTCGGTCCATCGTCAACCACTTTCGACGGCCGGCCCCGCTCGAAAGGCTTCGACGTGGGCGTCCAGGGGGCTGGTATCCTTCTCGCCTAGCGGCGCGCCTGGGGGGGAAGTGAGAGGGAGAAGGCCATCTCAGAAGGCGGCTGGCCTTATCAAAAGCCATGAGGCCTTTTGAGAAGTTTTCAGTGCCATCGGGGCAGGCCCTGAACACTTCTCGGAAGGCCCGTGGTCTTCAGAGCCCTCGAGCCTTCTGGGAAGGCCCGCCCATTTTCCCTTCCCCCTGGGCTCGCCGCCGAACTGTACCCCAGAAATGCAGAGGGCATGGGCAGCGAAATGCAGGACACAAGCTTCTGATTTTGAAGGGCCGAGCTCCTGATCTGACTCGGCGGTGCACGCATGCACGGGCCCTGGGTCCTGGCCTCTCCCTGGGATCGGTGCATGCGCCCTCCTGGCCGTGCCGGGAAGGCACATGCACCGCCCCCTGGACCAGGATCCGGGACGACGGACACGGGTACGAAAAGAACGGGCACGATGCCCACCAGCATGTTTTGGTCATGTTGAGCAGGACTCGCTGTCCGCGCCGCAGCGGGCGTTGTTCTTTGAAGACAGGGTGCCGCCTGCCCAGCAACGGCCGCTGTTGGTTTTGGACAACACTTGTTGCTGGGCGTTGTGCCCATGCTTTCCGTACCCACTTCGGGCGTCCCAAAGGATGGTCGTTGCAAGATCATCGACCTGGGATGGGATAGCCAGAGGGGTCCGGGCGTTCGCGGCGGCGAGCGCGGCGGCCACAAAAAGGGGGCAGGTTTTTGTCAAGGAGGGACATGGCTGCCAGGGGTCGCGCGGCGGGTCATTCGGCCGTTGTCTGGTTCATTGGCAATCCTCACCATGTAGAGCACGTGGGGCACAGCGGGAGTCATCGGGCTCCCCCCGCCGCTTTTGAAGTGAGGGCGCGAGGGGTTGGGGGGGGATGAAGAGGGCGTGTGAAGGCGGTGATGAGGGTTATGATGGTAGGCGCCCCAGCCATTCACAGTCTGGCAAGTGCGCCCCAGGATGCGTTCGCTTCGAGTGGAACTCGCGCGCCAGAGTGGCAGCGCCCTGCGCGACCCGCCACCCGTTGCGTTGCGCAGCTGGTGCTTCCAGCGCAACAGGGGCGCAGGGCAATTGGGTCGCGCTCGCTCGTTCGAGCTGTCCGCCTCGGGCCCTGCCCGGCCCCCCGCGAAAGCCCCCTACTCATGCTCGTCGCGTCCCCCGCTCCGCCCCCCCCCCGCCAGGCCCAATTATTTCGCGCGCTGCCCCCGGCGCCCCAAAGAGTCCGCATTAGGTAGGGGCAGTGAAATCGCCCTCCGCGCATGCCACCCCTGGCAAACAGGGGTCGCTAAATCCCGCTTCGCGCGCGGGGCGCCGGCGCCCGCGCGCCGCGGGCAATCCGAGCAGGCTTCGTCGTTCCAGCGCAGGCGGTCGCGGTCCAGGCGCAGCGGCCGCGAAACAGGG